CTCGCGGTCGTGGTCGCGGTCACACTCGGGCCCCGCATGGCAGTGCCAGGCGCTCCGCGCGTCCCGCCGCCCGGGTGAGCTCCGCCGACCGGGGGCTGTGGCTCCGCGTGACGTCACGGCCGGGGCGGGCTCGCTATGGCTCCGCCCCGTGACGAACCGTGGGCGGGGCCTCCGCAGCGCAAGGGAGTGGGGGGCGGTGGCACAGAAGAGGGCCCAGGCTCCTCGGCCTGAGGCATCAGAACCGCGCCTTGAAAGCCAGTGGGCGGCCCCCACCTGGGAGACTTCAGAAACCCTGTGGGCCCCAGGGGTTTCCTCTGCTTTGGGGGCCCTCAGTCCTATCCAGGGCCTGGGACCCTGCCTCCCTTGGCTGGAGTTGCCTCCCTGGGAGGACAGATGACACGCGCCCCCCAGGGACCTGGTTCCATCTTGGTGTTGCTCTGACCGAGAGACATGTTCAACAGCGACATGTTCACAATCAGATCTGCCTTTATTAACATCCATCAGGGGCTCCCGCACCTCACAGAGGGCTTCAGGGGACCTGCAGGGGCTGGCACAGCTGCACAGGACTGTGGGGGAGCGGGGAGGCAGATGCCGGGGCAGAGAGAGGCCAGACCGGCCACGGAGAAGCTCAATGCCCCAGGAGCGGGAGGCAGAGGCACTCAGGAAAGTACCCCGAGGAGCAGGCAGAGCCTCTGCTCAGTGTGGTGTCAGCCCGGGAGTTGAGGGATTCCAGGAGACCTCAGAGCAAAGGTTTCTGTGTGTCTTCAGGGAGCTTCAGGGACGAGGACTCCTGGGATGGTTCTGGGGACACCTGGCCAGGGTGCTGATGCTGCAGTGAGGGGTCATTCTCCTGCAAGCAAGGTGAAGATGAGGAGGCACGATCCCAGACGGTGTGGTCTGGAGCACCTGAGGGCAGCCCCGCAGCTCACCACGTCTGAGCCCCTCTCCACCTGGGTGCTCTGGAAGTCAGCGTATGCGTCGCTGGCGACACCTGGCAGCTCCTCCTCATACTCAGTCTGGTAGTCAGATTCATCTGGAGCAACAGGGACAGCCATATCCATCTCTCCCCAGTGAGTAACTCAGAGCAGAGTGTGCCTGCAGACTCCGCACCACAGCAACATGGGTCCTAGGTCACACCTGGCCCTGTCCACCTGGGAGGTCTTCCACAAAGACACAGAACCAGCAGACCCTCCTTGCCCACTCTCAGCCGGGCACCATGGGCAGCCCCAGACTAGACTTTGCCTACAGGAGCTGAGCTGCAGTGCCTGGCCAGCACATGTGGCCCAGTGCCTGGGGCTCTCAGGTGCCCCTTCAAGAGAGGACAGGCTGTCCCCTGTGGGGAGGACTTGCAGTCAGCACTCTCCTATCCTGCAGGTTCCAACCAGGTGGGGATGAGGTGAACAAAGGAGAGGCCGGGGTGGCCTGGGGAGCCAGTCCCATGGGTGTGGGGTCACTTGAGGCTCCTGGGACTTGACAGAATACAGCAGTGCTAGCCAAGCTTCCTGGCCAGTGGAACACAAGTGTGAAAGACTCCTATGGGTGGGGCAAGACCTGGGGGTGCCACCTCCTGGGTGCCCAACTCACCGTCCACTACAGTTCCCTTGGCAGGCTCGATGCGTGACACCATCTCAGCGAGGTCTGTGAAGGAGGCGTTGGGGCAGGGCAGGGCCTGGCGTGCATGGGGAGGACATCACCTGTGCTTAGCACTTGGCCCACAGGGGCTGCCGCAGAGGGCAAGATGGGGAGCACAGGGCACTGCCAGCTTGGCCCTGGCAGCTGTAGGGAGGTGACTGCCGCCTCACCGCACTGGCCTTCTGCTTGCTCGTTCCCTGTTGGTCCTGCAGCATCTTCTCCAAAATGCCACTCCTAACCCAGATGTCGAACACAGTCCGCCCATGCTGGTAACCCACCTCCTGTGCACACAGCAGGACCATCAGGAGACACAGGACCCCTAGTGCAGACAGGAGGAGGCCGGGGACCCCTCTGCCCCCCAACCTGGAGCCAGGGCTTACGCAGATCTCATCAAATTTGCCGAAGTCCAGGGTGCGGTAGCTGTCGATGGGGGGCCGCAGGTATTCGCAGTAGTCGCTGTTCTTCACCATCTCCAGCTGCCGGACGCAGCACACGTAGGCCAGGCGGGTCTGAATCTCAGCCATGTTCAACACCTGCTGGGACACATCTGAGTTTTCTGGCCCAGGTGCAGTACAGGCTGGGGGTAAGTTCTGGGCACCCTGTCATCCCTCCTTGCCTAGGGCTGGTCCCAAGGCCAGGGGAGGGGTATTGAGTGACCTGCTGGCCTCGGCAACACAGAGGGCATAGGGGGTACAGGCAGGAGACACAGGGGGTGGCGCCTGGCCACCTGCTACCACTCCCACCTTCACTTTTGTAGCCAGGGGGTTCCAGCGTTTCCACAACAGCCACCACCCAGACAGTGCGTCGCCGTAGTTGGTCAGGTCTGTCTCGTCCCGGCTGCCCACATCAATGGCAATCACCACCTTTGCCCCCAGGGATCTGGCTACATCCGCTAGGAAGGAGGCAGTCTTGGTTACCCCCTAGATCAGGTAGCACAGAGCCAAGGCTGGGGTGGAACCCCAGGACTCAACTGGGGCCAGATGCTGCCTCACTGTGCCCCAAGGGCTGGTGGAGGCAGGAGGTGTGGGCTCTGAGGAGCCCATGTCCAACAGGTAGCTGCACATGTGATACCTGCAGGCTGTTAGTCCCCTACTGTGGGCACAGATGGGACCTAAGTGCTTTGGTTTGTCTATTGGCCTTTGCTCTACACGCTGCTGTGTTGCCAGAGACAGCCATATGCCAGACCCACTTGGTGCGCGTGCATGTGTGTGTGTGTGTGTGTGTGTGTGAGTGTGTGTGTGAGTGTTCTGTACTGATGCCAGCCTGACATTCTCCCTTGGCATACTCTAAGGAAAACGTGTGCCACCTCAGCCTTCCTGGCGTGGGGGCAGCCATGGCAGGCAGCCATGAAGTGGAATGACCGAGGAGACACTGCCCCAGCCCCAGGTCCCCAGCCCTTACTGTACCTGGGAGGTTGTTGATGTAGCCCCCGTCCATCAGCAGGTGTCCATCCTTGGGGTCACAGAGAGGGGGCATATAGCCTGACAGGGACATGCTGGCACGCACGTACCTCCACAGAGAGCCTGGTGGTCAAGAGGGTCTGGTGGCAGAGGGGCCAGGGAGGAGCCTTTTGCCACCTGCCATAGCTTCTTGTCCTGGACCACAGGTTGGGCCAAGGATGTACAAGTCTCACCTCCAGGGAGGGTACCAGGCTGGTGACAGACCACTGCTGGGCCCCTAGTCCCCAAAGGCTCTTGCTCCAAAGGGAGTGTCCCTCCCTTTGCTTCCTGCAGGGCCTTTTGTCCACCCAGATATCCTCGCTCCTCACTGTCTCACCCCACCAGGGCACCCATGAAGGGGCTTCCCTTGCCTCCCTTGGGATCTGCCCATGCTGCCTGCCTCCTTTCTGAGATCCCTGGTACCCCTCCAAAAGTACCCACTCTCTTGCCATGCTCCTGCCACACCCCTGGCACTGTGGACTGAGGGACTGGCCCTGGCTGCCCAGGGCAAGAGAAGCGCTCACCATCCCTGTGGACTCGCATGGCCGAGGCTGTGATGTCGGTGGTGATAGCAAAATAGGGGAGCCACAGGTCCTGTGGGGAGGACATGGCTCAGGAGACCCCCTCTTGCACTGAGAGCTCCCGAGTACCTGATGCCAGCCAAGGGGGCTGCAGGTACCCACCTCAATCTGCTGGTCTCCAAAGATGCTGCAGATGCTGCTGTTGAAGCCAGCTCCTGAGAACATCGATGTGATTGGGTAGGTCAGGTCCAACATGGTCTTCATCATTGATGTCATGTCCTGGGGACACAGGAGACTGTAGGGGAGCTCAGCCCAGTTGGGGACCATGGCTGGTGAAGACTGGCACATATGTGGGCTCCCAGTAGCAGGACACAGGTGTTGAGCTGTATCCTAGAACCCTGAGGTCTCTAGAGTGTGCCTGTCATGGGCCTGGGCCTCAGAGTGGGCATAGCGGCTGGCAGTGCCCTTTGTCCCTCCTTGACCCTGGAGTAGCTTCACCAGCACCCTTGTGCCCAGGCCTCCCAGTCGAAGCAGGAGCAGCAGGCAGGGCTGGAAAATCAGCACTGTGGGGAGTGGGGGTGTCAGCAGCTGGAAGAGCCCAGGGCCTACTCCTCACTGGGGTAGAGGCATAATTTTCAAGGAGCCCCAGGTCACCTCTCCAGAGAGTGGGGGACTGTGTGAGGCCAACCAGACCCACACCACAGTGATGCTGCCCAGGGCTCTAGTGCACAGGGCACTTGCCCACCCCTGTTTTCTTGGGGGTTCTTTTGGGTGGGGCCAGGAAACACCTATGATCAGAGGACATGTGACTGGTCCCACTGGAGCATACCCAGTCTAAAGGATAGCCTCTGACTTCTTAGGTCAGAGATAGAAAGAAAGGGTCCTTGCTGCTCCTGCAAGGGGGGGGTGAGCTGCAGAGCACACATGCTTGTGAGGAGTGATAGCCTCGGCAGACAAGCCAGGGAGCATGAGATGGGATGTTCTGGACTCTGTCCAGGGCCTGACCCACCCTCCCAGGAAGCCTCTGCCCAGCTCCAGTCAGCCCTGGGAGGTCCCACAGCCCAGGAGGGCAGGAGGACTCTAAATCACACTGACCACTGCTGCCCCTGTCCTCAGTATCAGACCCTCAGAAAGGACTTCCCACAGCCTCGCTAGCCGGACACTTGCTATGCTGTCCTCTGCCTGCTGGACGCTGTCCTGTGGCCCCTCTTCTCAGAGGCCATCCCTAGTGACTGCGGCTGTATCACAGTGACACAGGATGCAACACCAGGCCCTTTCCTGGGTGGCCATGCTGAGAGGTGGGTGAGCGCGGCAGCACCCCCGGGGCCTGGTGGCAGCATGGTGGCCGCGGAGAGCACATCTGAGAGTTCCCATATGGAGGATGACAATTTCCCTTTCTTTTAAAAAGCAGAGCACACTCCCTTTGATTCTGCACAGGGCTCCACTGGGTTCTGCCTGGTCCCTGGGGACTGCCAGCTGCAGGGCTTGAGCCAGGAGTGCTCTGGGTCCTTTTGTCCTGCATCTGATGCTTTGGTTCTTGAGCTCATTTATGATGAGGCCAGAGCATGGGCCAGAGCCATTTACATATGCCCTGTGCCCAGCTACAGCCTGCACCATGGTTCCCTCAGGACTCACACCAAGACAGCATTCTGGCTGAGGTCCCCAAGGCCTACTGAGTGGCCCACCAGGCCAGTCTTGTGCTGCTATCCTGCCCTGCTTTGCCACTTACTCCTCTTGCTCCTCACTGGCCCCGGTCTCCCTGCCCTAGGGACCTGTACAGCAGGCCATATCTCCTGTACCCAGGGACTGCAGGTGACAGCTATGTCGCCATGTGTTACTGGGTGACCACCATGAGCCCATGTCCTTGACTTCTCCATGCTTTCTTCCCTGGCCCTGCTCTGAGACCTGCAGGTCTGTCTCCCTGAGACAAGGCTCTTGGTGGGTGTAGGCTGCCACTTACCTCGGCCCACTGCTTGGCTCGGATCCGAGTCTGGCTGTAGTTCCGCTCCTCAGCATACAGGGCACCCATGAAGGCCCCAATGGATGTGCCTCCGACCATGTCCACGGGGATGCCACATTCTGCCAGGGCCCGGAGGATGCCCACCTGGGCACAGCCTCTTCACCAGCAGGACACACAAGGAGGTGAGTGTGTCACCAAGGCCTGCCCCACTGCAGCCCACCATGCCCCTACAGTTCCTGACTCCTGCACCAGGCACAGACAGGCAAGGATGCTGCTCACAGAGGGAGTGTGCATGTGATTAAAATCTATCCTGGGCTGGGGTACAGCTCAGTGCTTGAGCACTTGCCTAGCAAGTGGGTTCCATCCCTAGTACCACACACACACACACACACACACACACACACACACACACACACACGTGAGTGTGCTACGGAGATAAACAGATTAAACCAATCACTCCATCCTCTCTGGAGGTGCTGAGGACCTGGGGAGCTGAAACAGGGAAGGAGATGTGGAAGGGTCACATGTAGAGCCCATCCAGTATCTTCAACCTACAAATACTTGTGACTGCAGCAAGACTGAGAATAAGACTTGCTCAGCTGGGGATAGGGAGAAGAGGTGAGGCCCACTAAGAAGGCGATCCAGGTGAACACCAGGAGGACTCTGGGATACATGAATGTTTTCAGTGAAGAAGTCAGACACTAGTGGACAAATATATGATCCCACTCACATGAAGTACCTAGAATAGGCAAATTCATGGAGAGGGAAAGTAAAATAATAGTTACCAGGGTTGAATGGAGAGGGAATGGGAGTTAGTATTTAATGGGTACAGAGCGTGTTAGAATGAATATACTCTGGAAATGGATAATGCTGGTGGTTGCACAGCACTGTGAATGTACTTAACTGTATAATCAAAAATGGCAAAAATGGTAAAATTTAAGCATATTTAACATAATAAAAATTATAGAATATCATTACAAAAGATTATCATGTTACTATTATTCCTTACTTATTGAGGACTGATCAGGCCCACAATTTCCCAAATGAGTGCACAGCAAAGGCTAAATAAAAAAGACAAATGGAATGATTTCAGGGCTCCAGGAGGATCAAAACCTTCTCATAGAATTCAAGATACTCAGGCTAAGACCAAGACCTTCTCTGGGTGGCCCATATTTATTTAGTTATCAGAACAAGGGAGGGGATTACTGGAGAATGGTAGAACAGCTCAAGGACTTCTCCAAGTAATGTATTAAAATAATCTAGGAGAACTATGTTACCTCCAGGAAGGTCTCCACTCAGGAGTGAGATGCCTACAGCTACAGTCTTTATCTAGTTACCTGAGGTTGGAGCCAGGTGCCCTTAGCTGTGGCTTTGTCTTGTCCTTTGCTTCAACCACTACTACAGGCCTCAGTCGGTTGGGATCAGTGACTCACAGAGGTTCACTTACTATGAGTCTGCTGCCCATCTCCAGACAAGGGGCCTAGGCCTTGAACAGACTCACAAGTAAACATGGAAAGCCAATTGGTAAATTTAAATCCTTCTCAGAGCTGCTTTGTAGTGGTCTCCATCAAAAGATAAATACTTAAATACATCTTTAAAAGTTCAAAGAATTAAAGACTAGATTAACAATTTTGGCATAGTTTAACATCACTGGTCATTTGAGGAAGGCAAATTAAAACAACACCGAGATTCCATCTCACTCCACAAAGAATGGTTATCATCAAGACATCAACCAATGACAAATGCTGGCAGGGCTGTGGGGAAAAAGGAATCCTTCTACACTGTTGGTGAGAGTGCAGACTGGTGCAACCACTATGGAAATCAGTATGGAGATTCCTCAAAAAAGTAGAAGTAGAGGTCCCATTCAACCCAGCTATTCTCCTTCTGAGCATCTTTCTGGAGGAATTAAAAACATCATACCACAATGATATATATGCACCCATATTAATAGCAGCACAATTTGTAATAGTTAGATCTTGGAAACAACCCAAATGCCCATCAACAGAGGAATGGATAAAAATGGTTTTTATACAATGGGATACTACTCAGCTATAAAGGAGGATAAACCTGAGACTTTTATAGATAAATAGATGCAACTTGAGACCATACTCATAAGTGAAATAAATCAGACTTGTGTAAATGTCCCATTGTCTCCCTGGTGTGAGAAACTAAAAGAGTAAATGAAGTCCAATATGTACAATAGATATTGTGAAATGGGAAGAAATTGTTCAAAAGGAAAAAGGAACTAGGATGGGGGAAAGGGAAAAGGAAAGAAGGGAAAAGGAAAAGAAAAACAAAATACAAGGTAGTTATACTACTAGTTCCTCTTAGTTCACTGAAAAGAAAGGTTTGTGCTAAAATTGTTTGGAGAATGTTTTATGCCCATATCTTGTATTCTGAGTAACTACTTTAAAGATAACAATACTCAATGTATTAACTATTGTTATTCTATTATTTTGTTATGAAATTTTGTTTTACTTTTTTCCATAAAATAAAAAAATAATAATTTTGGCACAGAATCAGAAGTTATAAAATGGAATGAAGTAAAGATTGTAGAAATGAAATATATAACAACTGAAATGAAGAACTCAGTGAATATATTTAGTAGCAGATTAGACACAGCTGAAGAGAGATGAGACATAAGTCAGGAAAAAATACTTGTTGAGCCAAAGCATCAAAAGGACGGAATATGTAAAACATTCTTTTCCACAATAGATAAAGAGCTGGGCATTGTAATGCATGCCTATAATCCCAGCACTCAGGAGGCTGAGGCAGGAGGATCAGGTGAATCTGAGGCCATCCAGGGCTATACAGTGAGTTCAAGGCCAGCCTGAACTGCATAGTGAGACTCTGTCTCAAAAGGAAGCCAATAAAGACCTTAGGAAACATGTGCCATATGACACAAAGGTCTAATATATGTGTACACTATACCCAGAAAGAGAAAAAAGAGGCAGACAAATAGCATTGGGAAAAATCACCCAGTGGCAGTTTTGGACTGATGACCAGCATCAAGCTCCAGATTGAAAAAGCATCACAAACCCTAAGAATGAACCCAAATAAAACCATTCCTGCATTATTGAAAACCCAAGGCAAACAAAAACATCTTTAAACTAGACTGAGAAAAAAAAGCAGATGAGGGCTAGGATGTGGCCCAGCCGCAGGACCTTGCCAGCCTGGGAGGAGCCCTGGGTCCCCTCGGCAGCCCAGGGAGGGTAAAGCAGGGGGAGCTGCAGTGGTCTTTTCTGGGCCTCGGCCTGATGCAAGGGCTGGCGGCTGGCTCCTAAGTGCTCCTCAGGTCCTTGATTAAACCCCTGCTGTTGTTGAAAATGCCGCAAGCCAGGCCCAAAGCCTGGGGCCAACTGGTGCAGGCCCCTGATGTCTAGACCCATGGAAAGGACCTGGGCCTCTCCTGGCCTGACAACTGCCCCATCCTTTAGATCAGTTTCTTCAGTGTTCAGGTGGGAGCAGGGCACAGGCAAGTCTCAAGTCCCTTAAGCTCTGAGACCACAGGATGCAGTGACATGGTGCTGTCACCTCACCCCTAGCTTGTGCAGGACCAGGACTCAGACAGGTGTTGTGAGAGGATCCTGTCACAGTGCCAGCCAGGAGTACCTTTCTACCTGGCCAGCTACCTCTGAGATCCTCCAGCAGAGCAGGAAGCCCATGGTGTCCCCCTTCCCTGCACTGATATAGATGCCCCCCTTGGGCACATCTGTGTCACCAAGGAAGCCACCTGCTGGGCCACAGGAATTCTTGGGGTAAAAGTCCTTTAAGGCAGCTGGGCATGGTGGCGCACACCCATAATTCTAGCATTCAAAGGGCTGAGGCAGTAAGACTGTTACAAGTTCTCAGCCAGCCTGGGCTACACACTGAGTTCAAAGCCAATTTAACCTACATAGCGAGACCCTGTCTCGAAGAAAAAAAAAAAAAAGGCCTTTAAGAAACCCACAGCCTGAAGAACTAAATACTGCTTTGGTAGCTCTGCTTTGGTAGGGCAGATCAGTGCTTTACTCTCTAGAGCACTTATAAAAATGGAGAGGAACTCACTGGGAGCACAGTGAGGACACTGGTGAAAGACAAGAACAGGGAGCTCAGAGGAGACACAGTGGCTCATGTGCAAGCAAATACTTCTATGCACAAGATACAAGATCCCCATGCCCCGAACTGGCAGCAAAGGGACCTGGCCTTCTGGGTGCAAATGTGGACTCTCCTGGGGATGGCAGAAGTCACTGCAACCCAAGGTCTGTCTATGATATAACACCCTGTCCTCCTGGTGCCCAGCATAGCACCCATGGGCTCACCTTGCTCCGCCTCCTCCAAGCACCAAGGCGATTGCATTGCCTGTGAGCACACGCGCTAGACGGGAGAAGTCCGAGTGCCGGTCTGGGGGCCGCTGGAAGACACGCTCGTACATCTCCATCTGAGGAGGGGAGCATGGGAAGGGGCTTGGAGGACCCCAGCCAAGACCTGTGTGTCCTGCCTTATCTGGGCCATTTCCTCACGCCCATCCTCATCCACATCCTCTCTAGGACATGACCCCATCAGGACCTTGGGCCAAGGCTCATGGAAGAACGTTTGCTCAGAGAAGACAGCTGGGCCACCAGAGAACCAACAGCTGCCTCAATTGTCCTGCCAGAGAGCCCACTGGCCCTTTTGGCAGACAGTGCTCTTGGGAGGCACAGGGTACTGGGAAGACACTGCTGGCTGAATTGCTGGGCTGCTGAGTGGACTGAGTATGCCCTATGGAAGAGGAGCCCCAGTGCCCAGTACCCTATCTGCTTCCCTCCAACCCCTGAGACTTTCAGGCCCAGACCCTGGATTTACTCTTCAGGGTTTCCTGGTCCCTAGGACACTGCCAGCTCCTGTTGAGCTCCACCCACACCTCCCCTTTACAGGGCACAGTACCACATAGGTGGCAGCCCAGGAGTCCCAAAGTCAAGGCCAGACAAACACAGACTCCTAGCCAGAGTTACGGTGCAGGGACACGTCCCAAACAGCACCCACAGCCCAGGAGCTGGACCGTCAGGAAGAGGAGGAAGACATCTGGAAGGCAGACAGAGTGGGCAGAAGGTTGGGGTCCCCCTGGCCCCCAAGGCATACCAGCTTGGGCAAGCTCCTCCTAGAGAAGATGCGCCGTGGGCAGCAGAGGTGCAGGTGGCCTGAGCACCAACTCCGCATGTTGAGCCACTCTGCAGTGTGCGCTGGTGCTGGCCCTTCAGCCCTGTGCAGTAGGATCAGCTGCTTCTGGGCACGCACAGCTGTGCTCTCCAGCATCCGCTCTAGCTGTGGGAGCAGGACTGTTAAGACACCAGGCGAGACAGAGGGCCCAGGACAGGATGGAGTTGCTCTGGGGACACCTGTCAGCTGGTCTCACAGGACAGAAGGGCTGCAGGCAGGGCTGAGAGTGGCTCTTGCTTCTGCGAATGGCTGGGCTGTGGCATGACCTACTGGGGGTAGCCAAGCTTGGACCACAAGGCCTGCTGGGTTGTATTTGCAGGTGGTCATCATGGCCACAAGGCATCTGTGTACAAGGACAGGGACATCTCTGTCTGTTCCTGATGCTGCTCATGCACACACATTGTGAGCTTTGCATGATGTGTTTTGTAAGGCACTCACCTTACCTGGAGGAGCAAATATTACAGCGAGAATGTTTAGCTGTCCCAGAACAAGACAGATAGGTAGACGCCTGGGGAGAAAAGCTGAGCAGGGAGGAAAGTGGTGAAGAGGTGTCATTCACAGCACTCGGGGAAGTGGGAGCCTTGTGGCCACATCTGAGGGGACTGCAAAAACCCACACCTGCAGACCACTTGCACCTTGAATCTGAACACACCCTAGGGCAGCAGCTTGTGGGCACCCTAAGGGCACCCTACACTTGGCCTGTGTGGTGACACAATCTCCTACCCTACTACCAAGAAAGCCTGAGCTGGTGGTGAGGGACTCACAGGGGAGGCAGGTGGACAGCTACAAGAGCAGTGAACAATGTGGACAAAGCTCACAGTCCTATATGCTGAGGAAAAAGGAGATTCAGGATGAGGTAAAGTAGGGCACTATTCCGACCAAGCCTCAGACCTGCCCATGAGTGCTTTACACACATGCTGTGCGGCGTGAAGCAGACAGAGGCTCCAAGTCCCCGGGGCAGAGCTCCTGCTGGGCTTTGTGCTAAAACCAATGGAAAAGAACACAGTGGACATCTCTAACACAGAGGGGGTGGGAACTGAAGCAGGTGGTGGGCCCACTTCTGAGTTGTTGAAATGTTTTATCCAAAGAAAAGAGAACTGGGCCGTGGAGAGGGCACCCCTCACCTCGCCCACTGTGGGCTCCTGTTCGCCTAGGCCCACGATGAGGATGCAGTCGGCCTGTCGGATGCAGCGCTGCGTCCAGGGGGTGAGCGTGCTGTCTGCCTGGTACAGCACTATCCGGTGAATGTCCTCCTGCTGCCCCAGCCAGCTGGACAGCCGGTACTCATGGACACTATGGGCCACAGAGGTGGCAGAGGGTGAGGACAACCAGCACAATACCCTCCCCTACTGCACCCCAGGCCTGGCCCAAGTCTTTCTTAGCCAAGCACAGGTGCGGCCAGGACCCAAGGACTAGGGCTCTCTGTAGGGCAGTGAGAGGGTGAGGACAGAGGAGGGCAGCCCAATGTTGCCCATACATGTGCTGAATGCAGTGCAGCTGGGGCATACAGGTACAGGGGCACAAGGCCAGCAGCACACACCTCCAGGCTGTGCCTCTACCAGCAAGGAGGAGGCTGCTTTCTACAGGGACCAGTGGGGCTGGTGCCAACTCACCTGTCCAGAGCTGCAGAGCCAAGGCGCTGTCTGACGTTGTCACTGGTCAGCAGCAGGACTGGGCCTGAGAACACAGCCACCAGTCACCTCCAAGGACAGGTAAGGGGACCAGGGTGCTCAGCTCCCCTGAAGGTGCATCTGGTGTCTTCCACATTAGCACTCATAGTCTGCAACTGGTACCAACACTATGATTCCAGGAAAGGCCAGTGGTGGTAAGGGGAACAGCTGGGAGGGGAGCAGTGCTGGCTCTCAGGAAGCCAGCCCACCATGCGGCAGTGACAAGGGGTACAGTCTCTGCAGTGGGAAAGGAACAGGATCTTGGTGCCAGGTGGAGGAAAACTGCAGGACCTCGGTGGCCTGTTTTCCCCGATATAGTGCTGGAAGGTCTGATCATTCTCAACAAGTTTTTCAAGAGCATAGAATTAAGAGTTAAGCAATAAGAGATCATGGAGTCTCACTATGCTGCCCAAACTGGCCCTCAATTGGTAGGTTCAAGCAATCCTCTCACCTTAGCATCTCAAATGCTGGGACTACGTGCTCCCAGCAACAGTAACACAGTTTACCTGGCAGTGTGCTTCTTAGAGACAGCAGAGCAAGGGTGTCCTGTCAGGAGGGCTGCTGGAATGGGACTGTCACAGCTCTGAGTTAAACTGCAGAAGCAGCCCCACAGTGGGAGGCTCCGGGCTTGGAGCTCCAATCCAAAGCTCCTGGCCTGCACACTGGGGTGAGAGCTCCAGTCAGTGTCCTCACAGCAGTATCTTCCTGGCACCTTCCCAGCTGGACAGCTGTGAAAGGCAGGTGATTCTTCTCTACCTCTCCACCCCACGAGGACTTGAAGCTAGGCCTTGTCTAGCCATAGGGACCCCGGGCTAGGCTTCACCTTCCCCTTAGTGAATGCTGTTGCTCCTAGGGCCCCTGCCTGGATTTGGGGGCGGTCCCAGGCAAGGTAGTCAGGGAAGTGTGGAGGCCCCAAGGCAGTGCTCTGGGCTCTCTTCCTTGGACCCCAGCTCTTGCCGACCAGGATGGCTCTGACCACTCTCTCCTGGGAGGGGTGGCCCAAGGACCTGGTTCTTTGTATGGTGCCAGAGTTCTTTCCCCTGGAGGACAGAGTGCTGCAGGTCCAGGCCAAGGGAGGCCCTGGCCTGCTTCAGTCTTCCAAAGGATGGGGGCCCTGCTGTCTCCAGCTCTGTGGGATGAGGGTGGACAGACAGCAGCCCCAGTCTGCCCTGGTGTGAACAGCACCACTGGCCAGGCTGCCAAACAGCTTCTTTCCCAAATTCTGGGTACCAGAGGAAGAGCAGACGATGTCTTCATGCTAGAAGGAAACATCTCTCGGTCTGGATCTTTACGGAACAGAAATGCTCTCTGTAGAAGTGGCCCACAGAGGTGGCCACCTACCGTGAGGCAAAGGAAGTACAGTGGCCCAGTGTGCAGTGTGGCCCCTCTGAGGGAGAGTCTGGTCAATGGGAGATTGTAGGATAGCCCTCCTGGTGGCCTTGAGCTCACCCTACTCAGCCTGTCTCACTGTCATTCCCAAGAATTGCCATGGGGCACCAGGGAATGCAGCACCCTGAGGCAGATCAGCAGGAGAGATGTTGGCTCCCCCTAGACCTGGAAACAGGATGTCCTCTGACACTTTAGCAATGAGGCACAAGACCCACCCTACTTTCTGAGCCGTGAGGACCTGCAGCTGGTGGGTCCTCAGCTCCCATACCCCACACTGCCACCTGAAAGTGATACCCTGCTTTGCATCCTGCCTCACAGGCCAGATGAAGGGGTGACCAGAACACACGAACGTGCTCTGTGATGTTCCTACAGAAAAAATGAACCTTATTCCCACCCTATATCAGCACCAAAATCAATTCCAGGGAGATTGTAAATTTAAAAGGTAAAACAACATTTTTTTTTTGCTTATTTGCTTTTTGGGGGGGGTTGGAAGTACTGTGGATTGAACACAGGGCCTTTTCACTGAGCTACATCCTCAGCCTTTTAAACATTTTTATTTTGAGATAGGATCTCACTAAAGCATTAACTATTAAATTGCCCAGGCTGGGCTTGAATTTATAATCCTCCTGCCTCGGCCTCCCAAGGTGCTGGGACCACAGGCATGCACCACCATGCCTGGACACAGCAAGGTTTTTAGTACATCTTCATGACTTGAGGACAGGATGAAATTTTTTTGTTGTTGTTGTTGTTTTGATTGTTTGTTTTGTGTTTTATTTTTAAAGAAAGGTCTGGCTATGTAGTTCAGGTTGGCCTGGATTCACTATTAGCCTAGGCTGGCCTCAAACTCATGGTGATCTTCCTGCCCCAGTCTCCTGAGGGCTGGAAATTTCTTCAGTAAAACACAAAAGTGATAATCATATGAGAGAAAATTGGTCTATTTTACAATCGAGAACTCCTGTTTGTCTAAATGCAAATTAAAAGAATAAAAAATCAAGCCACACAAGAAAGAGGGTATAAATGTAGGCAGCTGATCTGACAAAGGAGCAAAGGTGCCATGACAGGAGAAGATGAGGGGCAGAGTCAACTGGACACCACGCAGGATGGCTGAGCAGACATGGGCTGTAAAGCTGCTGCCCAGATCAGCTCTCGCACACCACAGAGCCCAGTGCAAAGCACAGACCGGCCAGAAGACTGAAGATGCAGAGGAGAAAACCGAGATGACCTCGTGTCTGGAGGTGACATTTTTACATACAGTGCCCATGGCACAACCCAAAACACAAATAACCAAGGAGCTGCACTTTCACTGTGTAACAACTGCTCTGCAACAGATGCTACCAAGAAACTAAGAGCACAGGACACAGGCAGGAGAACACAGCTGCAAAAGACAGAGCTGGCAAAGACGGTCACTAAATACACAAAGGACTCTTACATTTCAACAATAAGAAAGCAATCTAGTCACAAAATGGGCCACCAATGTGAAAAGACACCTAACCAAAGTATGTGTACTTACAGAAATAAACCCCTGCAACAGCACTCCACATGATACGTCATGAGAAATGCAAATCAGAACGACCATGAGAGGCTGTTACATACCTGTTGGGACAGCCCAAACCCACAACACCACAACACCAGGTCCTGGAACTCTCACTCCCTGCAAAATGGTCCCGCTGCTTGCGCCTCAAAAACAGCACATACTCTCACCGTGGGATCCAGCAGTCACGCTCCTGGGCATTCATTTACCCAGTGGAGCTGGAACCTATGTCCACACAAACACTTGCACTCAGATGTCTGTGACACCCTTATTCACAGACTTAATCAAGACCTGGGACCAACCGTGATGTCCTTCAGAAGGTGAAGGGATAAACAAACTGTGGTCCATCAAGACAATGGATTATTATTCAGCACTAAAAAGAAGTGAGCTACTGAACCATCAAAAGACATAAAGGAAGCCAGTTATAGTGACGCATGCTTGCAGTCTCAACATTCTGGAAGGCTGAGGCAGGAGGACTGCAAATTTGAGCCCACCCTGGGCAACTTAGCAAGATCCTGCCTCAAAAATAAAAAAATAAAACATGGGCTGGGATTGTCACTCAGTGTGAGGCCCTGCGTTCTACCCCCAGTACCAGAAAAAAACAAAACAAAATAAAACCAAAAGACAACATGAAGGAGTCAGGTGCAGTAGCACACACTTGCAATCTCAGCACTCTGGGAGGCTGAGGCAGGAGGATCACAAGTTTAAGCCCAGCCTGGGCAATACAGAGACTAAATGAAATCCTGCCTACAAACAAACAGAGCTGGGGATGTTGCTCAGTGTGAAGGCACTGAGTTTAATCTCCACTAACACACAGAGAACATGGAGGGAGTTTAAAAGGATATTACTAAGTGAAAGAAGCCAGTCTTAAAAAGCTACATACTGTAGAACTCCAGCTATGTGACATTCTGGAAAAAGTAAAGTAGGGAGACAATGAAAAGATCAGTGGTCACCAGCGTTTGGGGTGGGGATGAATAGAGCAGAGAGGAAGCGGAAGGCTGGGAACCTAGTCTGTAGGACACGGAAACCGTGGACACACGTCACTACACACTGTCCAAGTGCAGTCACAGCAGGGGTGAAGCTCCATGGGCAGCCCTGATGTGTCAGGGAGGGTTGCTCGGTGGTCACAGATGCTCCCCGGGGGACGTGTGGAGGGGCAGGGTAGGGAGTAAATGGCACATCTCTGTACCTTCATCTCCGTTCTGCCATGCAGCTAGTACTGAAGCAACAAAGTCTACTAAAAGTTTTCCCTGTTGTCACCCACCACATACACATACACCCTGACCTCCACAGACATATACCAATTTGCAGAGTAAGAATGCAAACAACCCAATCAGAAAAATAAGCAAAAGGCTAAGGCTATTGCTCCAAAAGGGCTAAGGCTATTGCTCCATGGTGCAGCACTTGCCCAGTATGTTCAAGGCCCTGGGTTCATCTCCAGCATTGAAAACAAAGAAAGAAAATGAGCAAAAGATATGAATACATTTCACCAAAGAGAACATATACAGATAGTAAGTATGTGAAAAGATGTTCAGTGTCACCAGCCACTCAAGAAGAGCACACTAAATTAGGAATATGCCACCCTTACATCTATTAGGGCACCTAAACTAAGAAGCAGTGACAACACAAAGTGCTGGAGAGATGTGGAGATGCTGGGCCCTCACACACAGCTGGAGGTGCACAGTTCTCTGCAGGTCCTATAAAATGGAGCACACGCATCACACTCCTGCGCACCAATCCCAGACAGGAGGGCTGCTGTGCACACGCATATCCGGGAAACAACAGATCAGAGTAGTTTTCTTTGCAGTACCCCAGCTGGAAGCCTACCCTACCCAGGGGATCCACAGAGGGACACTTGGCAATGACAAGAAGGCAGCTACGAGAGGCCACCTACAGCCTGGCTCCATTTCTATACCATACTGTGGGGCTGGAGAACAACAACTTGCCTATTCCTGATGGGTGACCTGCCCCAGCTCCACACCAGGATGGACCTGTTGGCCAAGGAGTAGATTCACCATGACCTTCTGCTACCCAAGAGCCTGACCCCCATGAGGGTGCTGTCCAGCTGAGGCCCCGCTACCCACCACCCACTGTCTTCCAGGTGTGTCTTCCAGGAAGCAGACAACTGGCAGGTGCCCCAGGTAGGCTCAACAGCAAAGGTAGGGACCAAAAGGGCAGGGCTGAGAGGCAGGGATGGTGTCCCAGGGCCCGTGCCAAATCCCCCTCCATCCTGAATGTTTCCATCTGAGGAACATTTCTTTTCTCTTTTTTGAAGTACTGAGGATTGAACCAAGGGCCTCTGCATTGTGCTACAGCCCTAGCCCTTTTCATTTTTTTTTTTTTTATTTTGAGAAAGGGTCTCACTGAGTTGCCCAGGCTGAGCTTACCCCAGGGTGCAGATGCTGGCAGGGTCAGGCAGACTCACCAATGGCTCTGAGTGCGTGCTGCAGCTCCAGGGCGAAGGCGGTGAGTGGAACATCCTCAGACACAGGCATCGCTGCCACTGTGGACAGGTTGCCAGCCGTGTTCCCTGCATCCCACTTGCTTCCTGCCTCATAGAGCCCAAACTGGTAACCTGCAGAGCATAGGGCGGGCATTGGCTGGGCAGCTTGGGACAGCCCTGCTGTGACCAGAGCAACTCCAACATCTTCCCAATGGGTGGTGGTCAAACCTGGGCATTCACAGAGCTGGCCAGGAGAGACCTGCTCTGGCCTCTGGAGCTTGGTGACTCAATGAACTCATTTAAAACCTTCTGCTGGGCAAGAGGGCTCCTTGCATGACCTAGCTCCCTGCAGTGTTCACTGCATGCTCCGGGAACAGCACACTTGAGGCCCAGCAGGGTGCTTTTACCATCTCATCTGCACTGGGTCTCCAGAACCAGTGGAGGTGTGGAATGACCCCCAGGAGGCTGTGCTAGGGTCAGGGTAACCAGGGAGATGCCCGTAGAACCACCTGGGGGAAATCAAGGCAGGCCACCAAGGGCCTGCAGTGTCTCCTCCAGCAGCCTAGACCTTCATCAGGCTTTCACATGGGCAGAGGGCCTGCAGTTGGCGTACCCTCAAGGAGTGAACTGGGCCTCAGTTCACTGGCCTCCGCCTGTGGGGCCTGCCACAATTACTCCCCACACCTGCTCCCTCCGAGGTGGTAGCCGAGAGCTCCGCCTTGCTGCCCTCCACATGACACATGCAGACAACAAGCAAACAAGTGACTTTACAGCCACCACAAGCACCACTGAGCAAAAAGAGGAGAATCCGCTCACCCTTTCTGACATTAGGTACAAATACCCAACTTTCTTGGTCTGGTTTTACTGCTCTTTCTGCAGCAGCTCTCTTTGGAGAATCCTCTCATCTCTCCCAGGGAGCTCAGATGTCACAATCTTCCATTTTCATTAAAGCCAAAGAGGACCCTGTGGCTGACCTTGAGTAGCTTTCTTAGTTTTTAAGCAAGGTGCTTAAGAGCTTCCAGTTTGGACCAAAGTTGAGTGGAGCAGGCATATCCCACTTCACAAAAGACCCTGGATGCAGCCTGAAGCAGTTCTCCAAGACTCCGCAGGAGAAAGAAGGCAGCTGGATCTGGGCTTTGGGCTCAGGAGAAGACCCCCTCTACTCCACAGAGGAAGCAGACATGGAATCTGGCCAGCAAACACCTGGCCTGGCAGCCCCTACAGCTATCTATGCAGCACACAGATAGAGGCACTGCCCATCCCAAGGCAGCAGACAGAGAAAAGGGTTCATCAGATCTGTGTGCAGACTTGGCTTACACAGGAACCCACCAGCATCCCCTGTGGAAGTTCTGTGAACAGGGATGGTGCAGAACCAGTGCTTCCACCCTGGCTCTGGGAGCGCACTGGCAGGGCAGGCAGAGCAAGACCACAAGGTCACTGGCAACACAGTCCACAGAAGCAGGCAGGATGGGGTGCCTGCATGGTGATGGCCTGCAGAGCCCAGGTGTGAACTGGAACCTAGATCTAGGAGCCAGTGCAATCCAAATGGCCAGGGCACCAAGAGCAGGAAGCTTTAACTAGAGCAAGAAACGCTAATCCACAAACAATGATGACACAATCCCAAGGCTTAGAACTAGTTCACCAGGACCATGGGGCAGCTGCTATAATCAACTAGAGCCAGGAATCATGAACGTATCTAAAAACAAACACAAAGCAGAACATCTCAGCAGAGATACAAAGAGGAACCAAAGTACAAAAACTGAAATAAAATCTTCCTGGATAGGCCTGATAGCAGAAATCAAGGTAACAAAGGAAAAAAGAAAATGATACTAAAGACAGATGAAAGAGGCCATTCTCTCTGCACATCAGAGAAAAAAGATAGAAAAAAAATGAATAGTTCCCCGAGACCTTTGAGACAATAATACAGGCTGAGAATTGGTGTCTTATGTTTCCAGAAGTGGAGAATGAGTTCAAGGTTGAAAGAATATTTAAAGAAATAAAGGTTGGAAATTTCTCAAATTTGGTAAAAGATACAAAACTATAGATTTAAAGTGAGCAAACCGGGACCAGGGATATAGCCCAGCAGTGCAACCTGGCAAGTGTGAGGTCATGAGTTCGATTGCCAGTACCACACACAAAAGAAGAGCAAACTCCAGATAAGATGAAATATATTTGTGCCTAGACATTTCAAAATCAAATCTGTAAAAACTAAAGACAAGAAAAAGTCTTGAATACAGCCAGAGAGAAACAACAAATTAGCTATCCACAAGAAGTTTAAAGACAGGGTGAGCTTCCCTTATCTGAAATGCTCAGGACTCGAAGTGTTTCAGATTTCTGACTCTTTCAAAGTTTGTAACGTTTGTGTAGACTACTGGTTGAGCAGTCCCAATCTAAAAATCTGAAATTAAAAACTTCCTGAACACCTATCTGATCCTCAAAACCTTCAGATCTTGGATCCTCAATTTTTTCAGCTGTATGTGGATGTCCATAAGGGAGCAACACAAAACATTTAAAGTGCTAAACTACAAGGACTGTCAAACTAGAACTCTACAGCCAGTAAAAACACCCTTCAGGATGAAGGTAAAGACATGTTCAGACAAAGAAAGCTGAAAAGAACTGGGAGCCATCTTTTCTAAAGGAACTGCTAACGAAGACACTTCAGACAGAAGGGTTAGGTCACCAGGAGGGACCTCAAAGGCAGGGACAGAGGAGAGCAACAGAAGAGCAAGCAAGCTGGGATGGGCAGCAGATGCTTCACCTTGTGATCTAAAGCTGAGAGAGAGTCAACACTTTGCAGGGCTCCCAATGCACATAAAGGTAGCAACTGAGACAGTACCTGGCAAGGGGGAAAGCACAGGACCCACGCAACGGTAAGGTGTCTCACCTCTCCCCAGTGAACAGTGTTGGTATAACAGGTAAGGACAGGTGTGGGGCCATGGGGTCCCTAATGTGACCACTGAAGATCCTCCAGGAAGAGACAGGAGAAACTACAGTTGATAAATAAATGCAGGGTGCTCAAAAAGGCCAAGTAAGGCCAGGTATGGTGATCCACACCTATAATCCTAGCCCTCAGGAGGCTGAGGCAGGAAGATGGCAAGTTCAAGTTTGGACAATATAGCAATTTAGTGATATCTTGTCTCACAATACAAAAAAAAGAAAAAAAATTAAGAAAGGAGCTATAGCTACAGCTTAGTGCAAACCCAACATCACAAAAAAATATAAATAAAAGGTCAGGCAACCTAAAAAACTAGGAAAACAGGGTAATATTCTTTTTTAAAGGGTAGAAGAACAGAAAAAAATAAAATGGCAGAGATGAATCGTAACAGAATAATTATATTAGGTGTAAATGGTCTAAACAGATAAATTAAAAGCTAGTGATTATTAAAAGGGATGATAAAAATGCAACCCAATTACATGCTACCTGTAAGGAACTTGCTTCAAACACAATAATACCAGCACTTTGAAAGCAAAGAGTGGTGTCCCCCATCAGAGGACTCGGGACCCCAGATGGCCTTGCCCCTATAAGTCAGAAGGAGCAAGCTGTCCTGGGCAGGGCTCTGCCCTCTCCTTTCCTCCGCTGGGCACTGCTGTCCACCAACTCACCCCTGTGCACGTGTGTCACAGGACACACATGCTTGAACCAGGGGGAATTGGTAGAAAATCAAGCAGCAAAGGCAGACTCAGAGCAGCAGGGGTAGAGGGAGGCAGGCGCTGGACAGAGCCATGCACTGGGAGCAGGAGGTTGCAGACTGGTTGTGAAGTCACCAGGGAAGGAGATGCCAGAGGCCAGAGGCCCTAGACAGTGGCTCCTGAACAAAGGGCATGCTCAGCACTGAAGACAAACCGGCTAGGGTAGGACTTGAAGCCCCCAGCATCCTGGAGTTGTTTCCCCACCTTCCATGCTGGTGCAGCAGCCTCCACCTCCCACATTGTCGGGCTTCACCCTGTTTCCTTTTTCTAATCAGCTGACAAAAATAGGAGGAAGATATAGCACATTCCCATGCACTGGAGAACTCCCCTCTGCACTGCCCATCCGAGATGCATGTCAAAAAGCCTAGCACTGCCACAGCGAGCAACCCCTCTCCTGCAGTGATCAGAGCTATGCAGCTCTGGGCCTCTGTGCTCTTCTCCCGCTACGCACTGCTGCGGGTGGGACTGGGCTCTGGGCAGGGACAACAGAGGGCATCAGGCAGAGCCCCAAGAAGGCAGCCTAGGGTGGAGTGGGTGGGGCTCCGAGCTGAGGAGGTGGGGCAGAGTGGGCAGGGAGGGGTGTCGGTGGGCAGGGGGCTCCTAGGGGCATTGCTGTGTTGTGGGCGTGGCTCTGAGGCAAGGAGACAGGGTGAGTAGTCAGTGGGCAGGGCTCGGAGGCTTTGCTCCAAGGTTGAGGGCACACACCTGTAGCAGGTCCCTGCTGGAGGCTGCCCAGGATCTTCTCACCCAAGAGACGAATCAATCGAGTCACCACCTGGGGACAGAAAAAGAAAGACCTCAAACCACACTTTCTCTTTTCTTTTTTGAGCCTGGTTCTCCCCATGTAGTCTGTGTTGCCTTTGGTGGCCTTAAAACTCAGAATTCTTCTCCCTCTACCTCCAAGTAGCTGGGTCATATGCATGCCAGTGCTCCTGGCCACACCACATTTTAATGCTACACCACATGAAGTGCTGGGAATTACAGACTCCATGATGATGCTCAAACGGGACAATGGGCCCCCTTTTCAGCATGGCCCTGGACTAGGAATCGTTGAGTTTGGGCGATGAGGCCTTGGGCCGGCTTTTCAGGGGGAGGGGCGGGTCTCTCCCCTCACTCCAGTGCAGGCAGATGCTCGAGGAAGCCACCCACAGCCCCAAGGAGGACAAGTATGGATTGAGCGGGCCTCCTGAGCTGAGGCTCACCGTGGCTAGGTGCCATCTGCTCTTGCCTGGATGGCCCTGATCAGGGCTGGGTACCAGATGATATCCAAGAATCATCATATTGTAGATACAGTAAGATTTTTTTTGGTTGTATTCATATTAAATTTTTAGAGTTGCAGATTAGTGTATTTAAGGTCCAAGTATCAAATATCTATAACTAGCTTTATAAAAACTAAAAAAATTCTTTGAGATGGAGTCTTCTTACTATGTAGTTTAGCCTGGTTTTGAGCTCGCTACTGTAGCCCAGGCTGGCCTCAAACTTATGGTGATCTTTCTGCCTTAGCCTCCCAAGTGTTGCGATTATAGGCATGTGCCACCACACATGGCAAAACACTAATTTTTAATTGACACTACTGTCATAATTTACTTGCTTGATGCTTTGGCACAAGAATAAAGTGAGCTAGTGCTTTTTAATTGCTATAATTTTCAATCTGTCAGAGTTCACGCTGCAGGCTGTCTGCCCTCTACTGCTCTGGGTATGTCACAGGATAACCGGGGAGACACAGTGCTGTTGGTGTCCACAGCCCTCGAGGTGATCCGGGAGCAAGTGCTTTTCCTCTCCCTCTGCTCACTTGGGACTAGATCTTGGCCTCTGGTAACCCTCAAGGGCACTGAATGGGGATTCTTGCGGCATCACTGCCTGGGCTGGATAGCAGGCCAGACCCACTGCAGCCCAACACGGGGTCCTCCCTAACCCAAACAGCTGCAGGCAGAGATCCACACTTTAGGGTATAAAACAGTCTGCTCAGAGGGGTTCAAAATAGATGCCAGAAAGGAAGATGCCACATACAAAGTGGATCTAGCACCAATGGCTAGTTAGGGCTTTGAACAAATCCATTTTATTGTAGAGAACTTGAGACATACAGCAGCAGGGAGAAGAGCATAGCGAATGCCACTCTCCTGCTGTCCCCTTCCATCATCTCACTTCACACACACCCTGGAAAATTTTGGAGCCAATCCCAAACACGGCATTTTATCCATTAATATCTGAACATGTTTCTCTATAGGATAAAACATAACCATAATATAATTGTTAGTGAAAGCAACTGTTAGTGAAATAAGTGAAAGCTAATTTTAAAAATTATTTCCCATGTCATGAGGCAAAGGGTTGTAGAGACCAATACATGCATTAAAAAGGTGCTCCATACCTATTTCTGTGTGTACATGTGTGGTACTAGGGTTGAATCCAGGACCTTTGTACTAAGCTATATTTTGTGGTTTTTTTTTTTGTTTTTTGTTTTTTTTTTTTAAGGCAGTGTCTCACTATGTAGTGCAGCCTGGCCTTGAACTCACTACGTAACCCAGGCTGGCTGCAAGCTCTCGGCGATCCTCCTTCCTCAGTGCCGGGATTACATGCACCACCATGCCCAGCCTTTTTTTTTTTTTAACTTTTGAGACATGGGTCTTACTAGGTTGCTAAGTTGCCTAAGTTGAGCTCAAACTTTGGATTCTTCTAGGAATCCAAAGATCAACCTCCTGGAGTGATGGGGGCACAGGTGTGCGCCACCACACATGCCATGCTCACCAGGGAATGCATGTTTACACAGAGTGATGTGCCACTTCCGGCCCAAAGTGAAGCAGCTGAGTGGAGAGCTGGGCTCAGCAGCAGCACAACCACTTTGGAGAAGCAGCTGTACTTCCTGACCTTGCACATCCACGTGGGACCAGCAGCTCCTGTGATGATCTGTGTGTGGATATCCCCACAAAGCCTCATGTGGTCATGGTTAGCAGGCTTTTCAGAGGCTAGTAAATTTAGAGTTTGTGACTGATTCAGGGTCTAATGCTGAGATTAAAGGTGTGCTATACCTGTCCTAGGGTGGTAGCCTGCGTACAATATGAGGGACAGAAAGAGGCTTGCTACTCTCCTCCTTTCTTGGTGCTTTTGGTATCTTCCACCACCAAGAACTGTTGCCCCTCTGCCATTCCACCCTGCCTCCGAGCCAGCCAAGTATGGATTGAAACCTCCACAAACTGTGAGCTAAATAAACCTTTCCTTCCTTAACATTGGGTATCAGGTATTTTGCCTCAGCAACAAAAAAAGTAACTAAGACAACTCCACAAGACAAATGCTATATCTGCAACAGCAGCACATGGCAACCAGGTGCTTGGCAGCCAATTTTCAACAGCCCTAAACTGGAAACCACCCCAACATCCACTGCAACAGTGACATAAGCCCTGTGCTGAGAGGCCCTGGCCCTGCCAGCTCACACCTCACTCGGCCCTGAACTCAGCTTGGTCCCGGGAGGATAGGTGGCCTCAGTGTTTCTCAGGGTTCCCAGCCAGGCACTAAAGGTAGATGGCTGCCGCCTCCTGCAAGAAGCAGCAAGGCTGAGAGTGGAGATGGAGCTGAGAGGTCTCCATACCCCTGGGCATGGATACTGCAGACCCCAGGAGCAGCCACAGTCTTCTGAAGACCCTAGGAGCAGCCACAAAGGAAGCGCCTCTACCCTCCCCTGCTTCTGACTGACCTGCAGGACACAGACCCCTGGGCCTAGAAGTGCAACCCTCTTCCCTGGGAAGGGTCAACACCTACACCAGGTGTTGCTGGCTAACTGCAGCACAGTGGTCCCCACACTGCCCCAGGAGCTGCTAACCCACCACAGCTGCTCAGCGGCCTTACAGATGTGGCCTGTGGCCAGGGCATCTGCCTGCTGCCAAGGGCGAGGGCCCCACGCCAACATGCAGCAGCATCCTTGATCCCAAGAGCAGAAAACAGGCCTGAACCGGGAAAGGTGAAGCGCTACCCACAGCTGTGGCCTCAGGCTCTGTCGGGGGCTCCCAAGGTCACCACTGTCACCAGGAAAACCTTGTTCTGGAATGGCCAAGTGCTGACTAAGGTTCATAGATCTGCGCCTGTGGTTTCTTGGCTGTCCCTCCCCTACTACAGACCATTCCTTTGGGCAGTGCTGGCCAGGCCCCAATCTGAGGTCAGTTCTTCCCTCTCTGCAACACCCATGTTACTCACACGCAGGGGGAAACCAGAAAGACAGCTGCACCAGTACCCTCCCCTCTCCCCAAGTCCCTGTCCCAAGCAGTGCAGGGATAGCCTCTCACCTGCAGCGTGCCCTCCTGTCACTGTCCCTTATGCGTGCTCCAGGCAGGGCCTCATGTGTGCCTAACAATCACCTGGCCTTGAGGCCCCGCTGCATCAGGCTTACCTGTGGGTACCTGCGCTTGATGGATGTCAGGGCTCCTGCTGGCAGCTTGGCTAGCTCCGAATCCCGCACAGCGTGTACTGTGGTCGCCCTGACCTGATGGGTGAGTGTCTCCACCTGAGGGAGAAGAGCCACAGCTAGAGCCATGGGCCTGGCATGAGCAGCGGTAGTAGACACACAGCCCACAGGAGAGCTGCACACAGCCAGGGCATGGCAGGTGAAGGCAAGAGCAACACAGCTCACCAACTGTTGCTCTCACAGGGAGCCAATGTGCATTGCTTGTGACCATGCTGCAGACTGCAGCAGGGGCTGGATGCCACAAGAGCCCACAGGCAGCCCTGGTTCTAGATGCCACGGACTAGCACTGGGCAGTCTGAACACTCTCTCAGACATAGTCATGCCCTCCCTCAAGGGAGTCATCAGATGTGTCCTATGAGACTGTGAGATCCCACCAGTGGTGCTGAGATACCTGCACCAGAGACACAGCTGGACCCTGAAGTGTGCCAGAGCCAGTGGGGGTCAGGAAGCCCCAGACTCTGGCATGGAAGACCCCCTGCCCAGGCACTGCTCAGGGGAGGCAGGCAGGAGCCACAGAGAAGCTGGGAATGCCCAGGAAGAAATGGCCCTCGGCATATGTTCACCAAGGCCCCTTGAACCCCAGTAAGGCTGCCCCAAGGCCCAGGCACCCAGGGAACACAGCATGTGCCAGGGTGTCAGCCATAGCTCAGGACAGAGAGACTCACCTGTGCTAGATCACTCTTGAAAGAGACCTCGGGGGCAACAATGGCCCCTACCCTCCGGGGATCTAGCACCAGTGGGGAGCAAATGAGTGCCTAGAAGTTAGGGGCCAGCACTCCAGGTGCATCCCTGGACAACCACTGGGCCTGGACACAGCCAACAAGTGGTGGGGGAATCTGTCCCCCTGCAGTCCTTCAGGGGCTTGGGCTGGATGCAGAGCATCACAGAAAACAGGCAGGGACCCGACACCTACCACCCCAACGAGGTCCCCGCGGCCATACTCCCCCACCAGGCGCTTCTTCCCGTCCTCCTTCCGGATCACAGAGCGCAGCCGGCCGCTGAGGACGATGTATGTGCAGTCAGATTTGTCCCCTTGCCTGCAGAGACAGAGAGGGCCAGAAGCCCTTTGCCCAGCCATCCCCCAGGGACAAATTTCCTTATCTTCAGGCACCCGTGAGCACTGTGGATCAGTGCATGCCACACAGGTGCAGGTACAGCAAGGGTGCATGGACATCTGTCCCACCTGTACACTAAGTCCACACCATCTTTCAAAGGGTGTGACAGCCCATTAGCAGTGGCCTTTAGCTGGACATGGTAGCCCTTGCCTGTACTCTGCAATGCACCTGTGGGCCTCACCTGTATATGGCACGCCCAGCCTCCACTTCCATCCAGTCCAGGGCAAAATCAATCTGCCGCACAAAGGATGACATCCTCTTCACCACAGTGTGTGCCACACCCAGGACAATGGCTGGTTGCTTCCGCATGATCCTGCAGGCAGCTGGAGTCATCTGGCTGCCCACCCCCACCAGGTCCTCCCACTTGGGGTCACAGCACTTAGGAGTCTGTGGGACCTGCAGCTCTGCCTCCAATACAGTGATAAGATGTGGCTGGCTGGGACATAGTGCAGGCTGCTGGCTGCTGGGGAGCATGGAAGCCCTCTCCAGCACTGGTCACCCATGGTTCACTTGAGCACAGGCTACTAGTAAGGCCGAGGTCCTGGCAGTGGGTTTCCACATGTGGCGTTCGGACCAAGGGTCAATGGCAGTGAGTGCGAGGGGGAGGGAGCATGAAGAGTCCATCCTGGGTGGTGCAGTGGCCAGAGGCTCTGACCCAGGAGGACATGATCCCTGGGGCAGCTGCAAGGCATTCCTGGACCAGGGCAGGGGTGCTCAAGGGATGCTGCTGGCCACACTGGGTAGGGAACACAAGGCAGATGTCACTGTCATTTACTGAGAACAGGAGGATGGGGCTCTGCCTCTCCACACCCCAGGGAGATGGGAGGGCAGTGCTGATACTTTTGTCCCAGGGTTGGAGGAAGGCCCCAGGACAGTGATGGGATGATGCCCATATGATGTTAGTGTCTACAACAGGAACTGTTACGCTATGCACAGATTTTCACACACATGGACAAGGACATGTACAGGCATACACATGTGGATGAGGACTCACATGGAGATGCATACACACAGACAAGGACACACATGGATACGTACATACCCCAACAAGGACATGCACAGGGACATACACATGGACAAGGACACAACGTGGAGATGCAAAGACAGGTAAGGACACACAGACATGTACACATAGATGTTAACAGATGGACAAGGACACACAGACAAGGACAGACATAAATACACATTTCGATAAGGATACGTGGACAAGAACATGCACAGACATGGACAATAACATAGACACACATGGAAAAGGACACAGACATGTACGCATGAATATTCACACATGCAAAGACACACAAAGAGGCACACACAAGCACAGCAAAGACAGACAAGGACACATACATACGCATGCAGGATCACAGGCAGACACAGAAAATAGGCTGCATGGAAAGCAAGGTCACAGCCTGTGACCCACGCCAGGCAGCTCACATCCAGCCTCCTCACGATCTTCCTGTGTTGCACTGCACTGCTGTCCCAGTGCAGCCCAGAAGAACAGGGCAGTGTGTGGCCACACGTTCTGCATCCAAGACAGCAGATCCATGCAGCCAGCATGGGAGGACACAACCTAGTTCTGTGTGGGACCTCCTTTCCAATGGGTCCCTCCCAGACAGCCCTCCTGACCACAAAGCCAGTAAGGGACGTGGCCCAGGACTTTCCAGGTAGGCCAAGGACATCTCTGGACCTAGTGGACAGGATCTGGGGTCAGGTAGACAAAGGTTTCTACCCCGAAACCCACTCTGTCCTGAGCAACAGGTGAGTGGGCGGGGGCATTCTCCTCATACCCTGTCCTGCCTTCTTAGCTCAGAACCAGCCTCCTTAGCATGTGCAGACTGATGGAGCAGGACAACCCCATGGCTCTGAGCCAGACCCTGATATCAGCTGGCCCCCAAGGCAGGTAGCCACAAATGGAGCCGCAAGAGAAGTACAGCTGGGTCAGCTCTGAAGGCCCACGGAGTGGGCAGCACCAAGCAGCTATGCATGCGCCAGACAGAGACCCTCAGCTGATTGCTGAGGAAGGAACATGGACACAGCCACCCACCCAGCTGTGGCTACAGCTCAAGGGGCCCAGCAAGGTGATGGTAGGCCTGGCCCTGCAGAGTCCTCAGGAACAGAGGATGTGGGATCACCCTCCCACAGGAGGTGGGTAGAACGGCAACCAAGGGCCTCCAGGTGGGCAGGGAGAGGTGACTCACTCATAGAAGTGGGCCTTGGAGATGGACAGGAAACTACAGTCCCTGTTGGCCCTGATGGTAAACATGAGGGGCTCGCCTGTGAGCACCGCCAGCTGCCCCACCATCTCCCCGGGGTGTGTGAGGAACAGGCAGGTGTCCTCCTGGCTGTCTATCTTCCGCTGGTACACATGCAGCAGCCCTGAGACCACGAACAAGATGTTCACATCCTGACAAAATCAGAGGGGTCTGAGTCTCAGGAGGTGAGCAGGAGGACCAGGGCCCAGTGCAGTGACCCAAAGGGCTCCACAGGGCCAGATGAAGCTGCCCTGGACACAGGTGTTCCTTTGCTGTTGTGCTCTCTGTGTATCTGAACACAACTAGCCCCTGCTCAGAACCTTCCCACAGGGTCTACAGTATAATTATTTATTTGGTGTTTGTTTGTTTGTTATGTAGTCCAGGCTGGCCTTGTACTCACTATATAGTTCAGGCTGGCCTCAAACTCATGGTGATCCTCCTGCCTCAGCCTCCTGAGCGCTGGGATTATAGGTGTGCCCCACCACACCTGGCAACTATTTAGTTTCCAATCACAGGAAACTTGCTTTTCTCATCTTGGAGCATGCACCTCCCCTCCCAGGGCCCTCCAACCTACTACTCCACATACAGCATCAACCCACTGCTCCCAGAGGAGGCCCCACCCTCCCTAGAAGTTGCGGTGGGGCCCATACAGCCATGCCTCTGCAACCTGATGGATCTAACCTTGCTATGGGCCAGTGCCTAATGCCAACAGCCCTGCCACCCTGCACACACTGGTTCTGTTCCAACACCTGCATGTATACCCACAAAACCAATCTCTCTGTACCCACAGTGGGACTCAGCAAAGCTGGCCTCCCTGCTCCAATCCCTCAGGTTCTAACAAGAAAGCCAGGGCAGTAGGTGCAATGGGGCTGCCTGAAGCACCTGCTCGCAGACATGGGACGGCAGAGGTGGCGGTCTGGTGAGAGGACGCCTCCCTGAGTACTGCATCCAGCTGCCTCCTCAACACCTACCAGCAATGTGCAGTGCTTGGCAGTCCCTGTGCCCAACCCCCCACGACAGGGGTACATCACTCACCTGGTCTCCTTGTCTCAACACCACAGTGCCTGCAGGGACATGGAGGAATGTCACTCGTCCCTCCAACAGGGATGGATCCTAGAACACAGAACAGGTTTCAACAAGGGGCCTCAAGAGGCACCAGAGTGAAGGCACAAAGGCCAAAGCCAGTGAGGAGGCAGAGGCGGCAGCAGCAACTCCAGCTGCAGGACCCTCTGAGGACAAGCACTAGCGCAGAGCCAAGGGCAGAGGGCACAGAAGCATTGGGAACACTGCAGGGAATGCAATCAGAAAGCAGTATTGTGGTGATTCATGCCACAGAGAGAGTTCACCTGAGTAAGAAGCAAAAATAACTCATAAAGGACACTAGCAAAGATATTACCTGCAAAGACTAGCTCGACAGGTCCCTGTGCCATGCCACCTGCAGACTCGCGCCCTCATGTGACCCATTAGGCCAGGAGCAGCTGGCAACTGGGAATCTGTCCATGCTCACTGGGAAGTGTGGCAACACGCCCACAGGGTCTTGCCCCCAACACAGGGCAGCACACGTACACATCTACGAGCAGGACTCCTTCAAAAGCTGAAAGCAGCAAAGTATTTAAACCCGTGTTTCATAGTGATAGTAAAGAAAAATAAGAAAGCTCACTAACCACTTTTAGAAGATGACAAGGAATTAAATCATTAACTGAAACCTCTCCAACCAACCTGGTGCAGTCAGTGGTGGAGTGTCTGTTTAGTGTGCTCGAGGCCCTGGTTCAATCTCCAGCTCCATAAAAAAATTAAATTAAAAAAAAAGCTAACCCTCCCAAATCTTGTAAAGGGATCTAAGACTTGTGCATCAAAGGCTGCCAACATCCCTCAAAAGAAGCAGCATCGAAGGTCTGAACTCAGAACAGGACACTGTGAGACGCAAGACCAGGCCAAGTCAGGAGCCACGGGACACAGCAGGAGCGTCTGTCCTGGGAGGCCCTGAGGAGCTCAGGAAGGAGCACTCATCCTCTCAGTACAAGGAGCTTCAAGAACTAAGAGTCACCCAGGAGCAGAGACCTGTAGAGAAGGTGTAAGGGATACCCCCTCACACACAGTGGACTTCCCAATAGCTGCCAAGCGGCTGTTAGAACCACGGACCCAGGGCGACCCATTCTTGACCCCTTCTATCTCTCAGGAGTTATTCCTAGTCCCCAGTAAACCCTTCCTACTTTTAGGAAAAAAAAACCTGCACACACAGGCTAAACCGCTGAAGATGGGAAGGACTGCTGTCAAATCTTCTTGAGGGACAGCAGTATGGTAGTTATGTCTTAAAAGAGCCCTGTGCTTTAGAGATGAACACTGAAGTATTCGCTAGCAACGTGATGGCAGAATCTGCTTGAGTTGGGCCATGAGGAGGGACACAGACAAAACAAGAGAAGTCCCTCCATTCTGTGTCATGTTTAAAGGAGAAAATTTAAACTCACCAACCAAGAGAACCTTACTTGCTGAGAGCCTTATTCGCAAATAACAAGGACAAGACTACCAAGAGTGAGGCCCTGGGAAGCTGTGAGCATACAGCGGGGGCGACATCAGGCAAGGCATCGCCATATTCCTGCGGTAAGAACGACACTGGGGCTAAGACTACACTGACTCAACACTGGGCTTGTACTCCAGGGCCCTCACCTTGAGAACAGTGGTGTGAAGTGAGGCAGTTTAAACAAATTCACAGACAGAAAATAACTGGGGGAGGAGCAGGGCGTGATACAGAGTTACGCCACACAGAGTTACGCCAGCACTCTAGGGGGCTGAGGAGGATCCCAAGTTTATTCCCAGCCTGGAAACTTAAGAGACTTAGCAAGACGCTGTCTCAAGAAATAAAAAAGCCTGGCGGTATAGTTCAGTGCAAAGGCTCTAAGTTCAATTCTCAGTACCGCAAAAGAAAGAAAAAAGGAAGGGAGTAAGGGAGAAAGGAAGGAAGGAAGAGAGGAAGAGAGGGAAGATAGAAAGATAGACAGAAAGAAACAAAAAAAGAAAGAGAGAAAGAGAAAGAAAATAACTGGGAGGGATAAGGAATATAGCTATGGAAAAATCAGCCATGAGTAGATAACTCCCAGAGCTGGTTGAAAGACACCTGAGAAATGTGAGTATGAAAGAAACACATTCTAGATGAACCAGTGATAGAGTATACAAAATGATATAAGTAATGGGCCAGGGATATAGCTCAGTAGCACCATGCCTACCTGGCAAGCGCAAGGTCCTGACTTTGATTCCCGGTACAAAAAACAAAAATCTGACTCTAAAATAATAAAAGTAAGTTTGTTTAAAATTGTAGTGAAACAAAACACCTTACTGAGATAATATGAAAATCTTACTCCTAGATTAAACATAACTCCTTCCACATTTCAAGCCTAATCAAGGAACTATGCTGTCCAGCCTTGGAGATCTGGATGGCCCAGAAAGCAGCAAACATAGAGACTGAATATGAGGCACTCCCTGCTGCTGCGTGTCTAGCAAAAGCAAGCAGGAGCCCTCCTCAGGAAGATGGGCATCCTGGGCTCCCATGCATCCACAGGCACTAGCACTTGAACAGTGCAAAACATAAAGTATCACATCTGAGCCCTCATCAAGAACTCACGGAGAAGGCATGGTGGTGCACACCTGTAATCCCAGCACTCAGGAGGCTGAGGTAGGACAATCGCCATGAGTTTGAGGCCAGCTGGGGCTACATAGTGAATTCAAGGCTAGCCTGAACTACATCACAAGACCCTGTCTCAAAACAAAAACAAAAACAACTCAAAAAGATGGAAGAAAATAGGAACGACTCAGAGGGAGTGACTACACACACAGTAATGCCCCTCTCCACACAAAGACAAACATGAGACATTTACCAAGAATTAGAAACATTTCAGTAGTGACAGCAGCTATTCCTAAAGAGTAGACATTCTTTTTCTTTTTTTTTTTTTTTTGAGACAGGGTGTCACTATGCAGTTCAGGCTGGCCTTGAACTCACAGCCATCCTCCTGCCTCAACCTCCCACATGCTGCAGTCACAGGCATAGCCACCATGCCAGGCAAAAGTGGACATTCTAGAACTATATAACTTAACCAAACAATAGCTTTAACATCAGATTGAACACTGGATAAAAAAAAAAATTACTGTATTTAACTGAATACATCAACATACAGAAAAACAATTTTTAAAGTCGAAAAATATGAAAGAGCCAGGCTCACAGCAGATGAATGAGAGCACACGCTCTGCATCTCAGAAGGGAGGCATGGAGATGCCAGTACCTCACCCTGACAGCCACCCTCACCCAATAGCTTCCAGAAGGGGTTTGGGGACACAGACTGAAACCTGGTGAGTTTCATGCAAGCTCAGTCAAACAATCCACACCCAGCCCTATTACAGAGAAACTGTAGAAAACTGAAAACCCTAACAGCAACAGGAGGAAGCCCTGTTCTCCGAGGAGGAAGGACCTGCACGCAGCATTCTGTTTGCTAGGCTGGTAACCAGGAGTCTACCCCAGAGACCTTTCAGAATGAGGGCCATAGTTCAGGGGCACAGCTATGCTGAGCAAGCACGAGGCCCTGGGTTCCATTATGAACACCAAAAATAAAAGGTAGCAACAAGCCAGGTATGGTGACACACCTTTTAATCCCAGCACTCTGGAGGCTCAGGCAGGAAGATTGTCTTGAGTTTGAGGCCAGTGTGAACCCACAACATAGTGATTCAAGGCCAGTCTGAACTGCACAGTGAGACTCTGTCTCAAAAACCAAAAAAAAAAGAGAGAGATGGCAACAGAGAACATGTATTCATGAACACCACCATTCTCTGTCCACTGTCAGAGAACCCACAAAACTTCAGAGCAGTAAGTGGGCTAGAAGGTGGGGTCATAGTACCAAGGGCAACCAGGATGGGAAGAGGAGCCTGGTTTTTCTTTCCTCCCTCATCCCTCAACATTAATCTGAAGGCTGCACTCGTCAAGAAGCCATGCCATGCTGATACGCGGGCGCAGACAGCAAGAACTCGGAAGGAAAACCCCACCTCTGAACAGAGGCTTGGGAAGCAGCTCTGAAAGTGGGAGAGGGTACAAGGCAGCTTCCTGAGGAAAATGCAGTCCAAGCCCTTCCAGCATCATACTCAAAAATTAATTCCATCTGCACTAAAACCTAAGAGAGCACCAGCTATGGTGATGGACATCTGTAATCCCAGCTACTCATCAGGAGTGTAAGATCAAGGTCAGCCTGAACAACTTAGTGAGATGCTGTCTCAAAATAAAATAAGGGCTGGAGACGGAGCTGAGCAGCACAGCCCTTGCCAAGCATGGGCAAGGCCCCAGGTTCCATCCCTGGTACTGAACTTCTGTCTACCAGATACCATTCAGTAGGCAAACAGCAAGACCTAGAAGAGACGCCAGGCAAGGTCAATGGCCAACCAGCGGGTACTGTCTAGAAAATACAAAGACATTCTGAAAAGCAAAAGGAAAAGAACAGAAAATAGGGGAAAGGACATCAAGGACAATCTTTTAGGTTCAACACAGCAAACAAATGTCAGAGGTGGTTGATCTCATTAGTACCCAAGGAAAATAAGATTGAAACCCAAGCCTGCACTCTACATTCCCAGCACAAGGATCTAAAACACTGCAGAGGTCTTGCCAGCTCCTGGAGATGCCCATGACCTGGTATCCATGCTTGGGTCCACACAAGGATGCGTGATGGCCAGCAAGTCCTGAGGCCTGCCCACAGCAGCCTGAGCTGGGTACACCATGCATTACCCATGGTGGGTCAACAGGAGGGCACAGCACAGAGGATGGGCAGGGTGACAGATGACTCAGCCCACTCCACACTAAGGACAGGGCAGCCACAGCCAGGTGAACAGAGCCCGAGACCAGACAACACCCACCAGGCATCTGCTCACACCCTGCAGGCCCACGTCCTCATCACAGGGAAACACACAATTTCCTAGCTTCTGTACATCAGATATCTGAAGTTTTTAAGAATGTCAGGGACACAAGTCTACATAATAACACATGTGGGGAAGACCTACTCCACAGTGCCCAGTGATCCCAAAAGCCCACAGGCACACTCACTTGGCTTGGGGGAGACCCACAACACTCCTGCCTGAGGCCTGGGGGAGCCAAGGGCCCCTGAGAGGGCTGTGAGCCTCCAGCATCGCCCCACTCCCAGATAGCTTCACAAAAGAAGAGAAAAGCTGGGAGCAAGGGATCTGAGGGTTGCATGACGACCACTTTACTTGGAGCCGTGCTTACATCCAGCTTCATCAGGGTCAGGAGGTCCTTCTTGGCCGCTCTGAAGATTGAGTCCATCTGCCCACTGGAGCTGGTCTCATCCCAGGGACTTTCTGAGTAATGGAAGACAGCAGAGGGGGTCTCTGCGACAACCACATTTTTCCTGGACTAGAGAACAAAGGCACCAGCTATTAGAGGAGAAGTGGCAGACAGAGCATGAGAAGGCTCTGCCCATGGCCCTGTACCAACAGAGCCCCCGGGGAGGTGGGAGGAAGAGGAGGGACCTACCTTGCCAGCCACAAAATTCCCAGGGTGCTTATCCGAGTGCAGCAGGACCCTGGCACGGTCATACGCCATCCCCAGGTCTGAGGTAGCCCCTACACAGCTCCCTACAAACAGAGGGGAGGCTTATGGGCTGCCCACTGTCCACAGGTACAAAGGTACCAAGCACAGGCTGAGCACACCCTGCACATCCAACAGCAGAACACTGGCAGGTGAGATGCAAATCCAGATGGCAAGGCTATCTTGACGGATGCCTTGTGAACCAGTCCATCTGGTGTGGCTGTGACAGGATCCCTGAGGCTCAGAACTTTATAAACAAAGAGGTGATGAGCCAGCTTCTGCCTCAGTGGCCACTGAGAAGCAGAAAGGAAACAGCCAGGTCAGAAGGGACCAAGTGCATGGAGTGGCCTTGCTTCTCAAGGACTTCCTCTTGTGACAGCAGATCCCATCATAGGAGTGGGCGTCACCTTCTGGTGCAGAGGGAGCTCACAGAACCTAAACACCTGAGGCCCTATCTCTTGGTCCTCCTCACACACACTTTTTCTTGTGGAGTGCTAGCGATCAAATCCAGGGTCTCTCCAGCAAAGCAACCACCACTGAGCTACACTCCCAGCACCAAAGCAACCCCCCTCAAAGCCTCCACCACTTTAACACAGCCAGGGGACCAAGCTTCCAGGGTATGAACCTCCAGGAGATGAACTCTACTTCAACCACAGCAGGGACCTGCAGTCAACTTTTAAACGTTATTAAATAACTAGCTTAGCAAATCTCTAGATCACTTCAGATTCTGACAAAGCACATGAGCTTTGCATCACACACATCTGAGTTCGGAACTTGCCTCTCACTGCCAAGCTCTGTGCAAGTGACTTAGCTAAGCTGTACTTTCCTCATCCAAAACCTAGGATTCATGACACCCATTTCTCAAATTGGTGGGGAGTTTTTTGTTTGTTTTGTTGTGGTTTTTGTGAGGGGTGTTTTGTGTTTTGGATTTTTTGAGACAGAGTCTTGCTGTGTAGTTCAGTTCAGGGTGGTCTTGAACTCACTATACAGCCCAGGCTGGCCTCAGACTTTTGATCATCCTTCCTTAAGTCTCCCAAGCGCTGGGGTTAGAGGAGTGTGCTGCTATGACCAGCTTTTCAGGTTATTTTATGACTTGCACGAGGTCATATACATAGAATTTGACATCAGTTAGATAAAAATGAACAGCCAAAAGAGTACATCTCAGATGCACACAACATAGGTAGATATCAACAATATGCCACCAAGAGAGGACCCCAGGCCTGGGAGCACATCATGTGCCCCATTCACAGGAAGTCCTAGTAGTATCTGAAACAGAGCCATGGGCACACAGACTCCATGGGAAAGGGTCAGGTCAGCCTGGACTGCCATACCCAGCCAAGTTATGCCACTTCTACAAAGGAGAAGCTGCCAGAAGTCAGGGTGGCGGGCAAGCAGTGGCAAAAAGGTCAGCATGGTTGCTGCTGGTGCCAAGAGATGTGGTGGCTCAGAGTGGCTGATGTCTGTGTTCCTTTATCTGGCTTGACTGGTGTGTTCAGCTTATGAAAATTCATCAGACTTCTCACTTATGATATGCACACTCCCTGTATTATAGGGCTGGGGATATAGCTCAGTAGCACGAGCACCTGCCTGGCAAGTGCAAGGTCCTGAGTTCAATTTCCAGTACCAATAAATAAATAAATATATTTATTCCTATGAGTATTATAGAACCATAACAAGCTAATAAAAATAAAAATAATTTAGGAAATGGGTAAATGTATAAATAGAACACAAAGGATAACTTAAAAAGAGATCCAAGTAATGAAATGTCCAGGTCAGGGAATCTTGTGTTGACAAATAAGGTCAGTGGTTGCCCTGGCCAGGGAGGGACTGCAGGCAACAGCTACTCAGAGCCCAGGCTCTTCACTGGGAGGTGAAAAGGTCCTAGAGTCAGGCAGTGTTGATCCAGGTATGATTTTGTGAACGTGCTAAAAACTACAAGATTGCACATGTTTATGGGGTAAACTCTACAGTATATAAATTTTTTTTTTTTGTCTTTTTGAGACAAGGTCTCACTATGCAGTCCAGGGTGACCTTGAACTCACTTTGTAGCCCCGGCTGGCCTCAAACTTGCAGCAATCCTCCTGCCTCAGCTTCCCACATTGCAGAGGTGGCTCAGCCTTCCCCTAGGCACACAGTGCCTATAGGCAGGCCCAACTGGGCAGTAGTGGGGTCCTTTACCTTGTGGGGCTGAAAGGTCAGGGTCACCTATCTGGGGCTGCCCAAGTTCATCTGAGATCTCCTTGTGGATGGAAGGCAGAGGGACAGACTGGCTCCTCTTCAACAGAGGCCCAGAGGCTGCAAGGCGGCTGCTGCTACAATCTGCAGGATGATGGGCAAGAGTTCAGGTAAAGACACTTGGGGGCAGGTGAGGGGACATGGGGACAGGTGAGGGGACCTGAGGGTAGGAGAGGGGACCCAGGGGCAGGTAAGGAGAGCTAGACACAAGTAAGAGGACCCAAGGGCAGATGAGGAGGGTTGGGGGCAGGTGAGGAGCCAGAAGCATTTGTCAGACGTCCTGAGGGCTCATAAGGTAGACATGGAGCAGGTGGGAGGTAACCCAGGTGGAGTGGGAAGGAACTTGGGCCCCAGGCTGAGCTGCTGCCCCTGGCAGGGCGTACCTGAGTCACAGGACTCCTGGAGCTGTGGTGGCCTCTGGAGCTGCTCCTCTGAGCTACAGGACATTTGCCTCTTGGCCCATCCAGCAGCCACACTGGCCACAGATGCAAGGGGGATGGCCTGGCTCTCCTGTGACACAACAAGGAAGAAGAACATAAACACAAAAGGGTGTTTCCTAAAGTACTGGCAACTGAGGGTGATACACTCTAACATCCTCACAACGAGGGAGACACCCAAGTAAGGAGATGAGCACTAACCAGAGGGCGCTGACGCTCATCCATCCCATGCGAACTTCCCTAGTATCCCACCCCCAGGGGCTGCTGGAGTGGGAGTGAGGCTACCATGTCACTTCTTCCCACAAGAACTGGACAGGCTGTGTCCAAACTACAGGTTACTGTCTCACACTGAGAGGAGAGCTAGGATTCAGGCCCTATTGCCACCAGCCAGATCACAGCTCAGCACAGACAAGGGCAGGACAGAGCCAGCACCAGCAAGAAGGACCTGAAGGCATGTGGGGGGTGTGAAGGCACCCAGCTCCCAGAGCTCAGGGAAGGGACCGCATGAACACCAGCATGCAGTCACCTGCCCAAGCCTGACACACACTTCTGACCGTAGGAGAACTGACCAGAGTGGCAATGGGCATCTCCAAGGCAGAAAGATTAACACACCCACTGCTACCTCCCCAAGTCCTGACAACTCACAACTAATACAGCCGTGGGGCCACACAGGGCAACAGCTGCACTCACAGGGTTGAAGAGCTCTGTTGTCAGGCCAAGGTAGTTATGCAGGGCCAGGAAGGTCACCCTTTGCAGCCGCACCATGATGATCTGCATGGAGACATCTGGGTGTGAGCAGCCCCCATGCCTACCGGAACATACGACACCTCCCAGGACCCTAAATGGCACCCTCAGGTCAGCAGCCCACCATGGCAGCATAGGGAGCCAGCATGAGAAACAAGGTCAGAGGCACACAGAAACTGCATTATTTGTGGAAGTGTTCTGCAAGTCTATAATTACTCTAAAATAGGACATTTAACCAGGCACAATGCCTCTTGTCAGTAATCCCAAGTACTCAGAAGGCTTAGGCAATAGGATTGCAAGTTCAAAGCCAAGCTGAGCACTTTAACAAGACTTTGTCTAAAAAACAAACAAAAAATAGGAGGTAGGAACAAGAAAACAGCCTGTTGCTAGACACAGGTGCAAGTCTCTCGGTCCTTCTTTTCAATCCTGGCCTTCCTTCCAGCCGTCATACCTCAGTGAAAGGAGTCACTGGTGAGGGGGTAATATGCTATTTTTGACAACCCTTAGGCTGTAACTACTTAATAGGTCCCTCTTGCATATCTCTGTCTTCCTGAGAAACCACTCTGAAGATACCACCACGTATTACAGCAGCCATTGATATTTTCCTACTAATCTATCCATAACTGTGTAAAGTTTGTAATGTTCCTATCCTATTTCATAAATGGATGTATGTTTATTATTATGTGTTTCCTACAACAACCATTGAGAATAGCTAATGATTATTCAAGTGGTCACTCATGTATAGCTCTACTTATTTTCTTTAGAAGCCACTTTGAAGATACCAAAGTATAGTACAACAACTCTTGATAATCTCCTATCACTTTTGTCTGTAACTCACTATTATTTGTCTATTTGTTTTCCTGAGAAACTATTTTGTAGGCAATAATATGTAAAATGATAACCATTGATAATTTCCTACCATTTTGTCTGTAATTTGCTAAGTCCCCCCTATTATTATGTTATCCTTCTTTTATTCTTTAAAATAAAAAAAAATAAAAAAAAAAAATAGGAGGTAGGGGGCTGGGGTGTGACTCAGTGGCAGAGTGCTTGCCTGGCACATTCAGTGTCCTGGCTTCAACCCCAGTACCACCACGGGGAAGGAAAAAAAATTATATCTCCCTCTAGGGGAGTAGGAGAGCTGAAGATCTCTTTGAGGGTATGAATATTGGTTTTATCATAAAAAATAAACAGCCTTAGCCTTCCCAGAATTTCACAGGACGTGTAGTCCAGACAGCAAGGACAACTCCAGCCCTCCTGTATCCACTGGCAGGGCTGTGAACCTCAGTACTGACACAGTAAACCAGGAACGCCCTGCAGGGCCCCATGCTGGCCCCCAGGTCCCATCCCTCAGGCGATGCACAGGATAAAGAGAGGGCTGAAAAAGCAACTCACCTGCACCACCCTCACCAGGGTCTCGGGATATTTCTCAAAAATGCCTTGAAAAGCCACTGCTGGAAGCCGGAGGATGGTGGATGGGGTGGCTGCGCGGGCAGAGACAGTTTTGTAGGGTGCGCCATGACCCTAGAACAAACAGTTCAGTTGACCCTAGTAGAACTCCTGGGGACCGCTAAGACCCTGCAGACCCCCAGAGGTCACTGTGGCTCCTGTTATGGAGACTCTGCACTCTTTCGGTTGTATTGAAGGACGGACGGCACTGCGTTCTTGATCATGGTGGAGACCCACAGGGAAGGCCTTGATGCAGGGTCATGTGCAGGATGGGCTCCCACCTGCTGCCAAGAATCCCATCATCACGGCCACCTGTGGCCCCTGCCAGAAGGACATCAAGACATACCCTGTTCAGCTTCCTAAAAAGGCTGTGACACAGTAGAAATCACTAGGTCAGAGCCCCTGCCACTGGCACCCGGCCACATTAAGCAGGGCACACTGTCAGGTGAGTTGTGCCCACAAGGCTCACGCAGCCAGGGTGGAGCCCAAGAAAGGTCCCAGCCAGTGGCTTTGGTTTCTGTCTTCTGGAACCTGGTAGTGTTAGGAGAGAAGACTACTTCACACTGAAGAGTCATTCACGCACAGTGACACCCCCTGGGTCACAGCCCTAGGCCTTTCACCACCCCATAGGCATAGCACAGCGCAACACACATGTCCCCTGGGCCTTCCTTCATTGGCCTCTCCTCAGTTGCTGGCCCCAGTGGCTCTGCCCCTGTTGGCGAGAGTCAGCATGGGCTCAGAGCTACTGTGTGAGTGGGCAACTTTGCCCTGAGTCCTGGGAGAAACCACCTACCCCAAAGACGACACTAGGTTGTTTCCAGGGTCTGACGGCCATAACAAGGCTTCTCTAAACATACCTGCCCAGGTTTCCACGTGTTCTTGCTAAACATCCAGTCCCTGGTGCCTAGCACTGATCCTTAACTCCATAAGAAGTTGCCATGTTGTCTCTGCGGCAGGGGCGCCCTCCCATATGCCATCAGCAGTGGTGCGCATGCTTGTGGCCCCATTCTCACCAGCACTTGGCACTGTCAGTGCTGTAAAGAACTCGTGACTCGTCTGGTTCCCCATGACTGCAGTGTCTGTCACTCACAGGGGGGTCCATGCACCACGTCTAATTTTGTGCTGACAGGAGAAGGGGCAGGAGGCCTAGGCAGTATCAGGACAGGGTGTCCACACCTGAAGACTGCCTCATGGCAGTTTCTCGGAAAGGAAACTTTCCAGAACAAAGAGAAACTTTCCATTTCCAGAAATGGGAGCCAAACAGCACAGTACAGGCTCTGGCGAGGATCCCAGCTTCACTGTGCCACGGTTGGGACTCTCTGTCTCCCTTGCCTCCCAAAGCCACTAGGATCCAAGCATGAGTTCCCCCCATGACCTTATCTATCAAGTACTTCCTGGAGGTTCCACCTCTTAGAACCATGGTGGGATAAAATTTCCATTTTCTTGACATCGCTATCACAGCCTTATTGGTTGTACCTGCCAGGCTGGGCTTCCACAGGGCTCCCAGTTCTGGGCTGCCCACTAAGTCCCACAGACCTGCACATCACCACGGCACCAAGGCTACACCAAATTAAGTCTCAGAATAAGGTAGTGTGAGTCCTTCATCTTTGTTTTCTGTTTCAAACTCCTCTTCTAAAATTAAAAATTTTTGGTGGTACTAGGGGTTGAACTGAGGGCCTTGTGCATGCCAGCCAAGTGCTCCACTGCTGATCTACATCCCTAAGCCCACTCTTTCAAATTCTAGTTATAGTGTCTTTGTTTTTCCATAGAATTTTATAATCAGTGTCTTTCTACAAAAAAAAGCCTGCTGGGGTTTTGGCTGGAATTCTGTTGGGCTGGACTGGGGATATAGCTCAGTGGCAAAGTGCTTGCCTGGAATTATGTTGGGTAATCTGGAATATCTGACTTAGTAATATGTAGTCTTCCAACCCATGAAAACAGTGCATTTCTCCATTTAATTTAGAAGGTCCTTGGCTTTCTTCATAAATACAGTAATACCTTGGTTCATAAACACTTCTTTTCTCAAACAATTCAGTTCACTAACAGAAGTTTTCAGCAAAATTTTGCTTCTGTTCACAAACTCCACATAAGGTGATGAATACGACCACAGCCATCTTCCCCAGAATCATGGAATAAATAAAGTTTGTGAATTGAGGTACCACTGTAAAATGAGTGTTCAGCATACATATAATTTGTCAGAATAGCGTGTATTTCATGTTTTGATGCTATTTATTACAAATGCTACTATTTATTTTATTTTTCAATCCATTCCTGTTCATATTATATAGGGCCTTGTGCATGTTTCCTTCACCCTCAGTTCCAAGTGTTACCGTTTTTAAATTTTCAATTACCAATTGTTAAGCCAGCTGATTATGGACTGAAACCTCCACAAACTTTGAGCTAAATAAAACTTTCCCCCTTAAAAAAAAAACAAAAAACTTTCCCCCTTAAAAATATTTTTCCCAATTGTTCACTGCCAATGTGTAGAAATACCATTGGCTTTTGTATATAAACTCAGTCATAAGTTCTAACAGCTTTCTTGTATATTCCGTGGAATTTCTACCACACAATCATGTGGCTTGTGAAGAGACTTTCAGTTTTCCTTTCCAGCCTGTATGCTTTTTCCTTCTTTCTCTTCACTCTGTGCTCAGGGACTATCAGAGAGTAAGATCCGGTGTCCTGGCTGCTCCTGGCACCCAGCAGAAACACGCAACCCTTACCGTGGAGTCTGATGGCAGCCCAGTTGCCTACAGATGTCCTCACTGGCTTAGGGAGTTCTCTGAAATTGTCCCAAATTTTTTATCATGAATAGATGCTGATTCTGTTGAAGGTTTTTCTGTGTTGACTAGGAAGTTTATATGATTTTTTTTCTTTAGTCTGTTGCCATGGTGAATTACACCAACTGACTTTCAACTGCTGAAGCAGCTCTGCATCACTAGAGCACGTCCCGCTTTATCACAATGTGATCCCCTTTTCTATTCAGGCAGGACTGAAACTTCTGACAGTCTCCAGAACCTACAGTCTAGAAAGATATAGTATCTGTCTGCAGTTTTCTTCACAATGTATGTGTTTGGTTTGGGACCAGGATAATTCTAGCCTCAAAAACTGAGGTGGGAAACATTCTCTCCTCTTTGCTTTGTGGGAAGAGTTGGTGTAAAATTAGCAGTATTCCTCTCTTAAATGTAAGCCCTGGGTAGAACTTTCCAGTGAAGCCATTTATGTCTGGAGTGCCCCTTGTGGGGAGATTTTAAGTACAAATCTGATTTCTTCAATAGATATAAGGGTATTCAAATAACATATTTTCTAGAGGGTGATTTGGTAGCTTGTATTTCTAGAAAATTATTTACTTTATGGGCATAAAGTTGTTCATAATATTACCATCTTAAAGTAGGCACAGCAGTAAACACCTGTAATCCTAGCATTTTGGGAGGTAGAGGCAGGATCTCAAGGTCAAGCCTAGTGGGGACAACTCAGCAAGACAGCTCTCAAATTTTGAAAAAATGAAGTAATCCCACTGAGCTGGGGATGTGGCTTAGTGTGAAGGCCCTGTGTTCAATCCTCTGTACTGGAAAAAAAATTTTCTGTTTGTCCTTTCATTGGGGACAAACTTTGTCCTTTGCTGTCCTTTGATGTCTGTAGAAATGTCTGCTTCCATTTCTGATATTCCTAGTTTCTGTCTTCTTTTTTTTTTTTTCCCTTCATTGGTTTTCCTAGAGGTTTTTGCATTTTAGTGATGTTTTCTGAGAACCTACTTTTGGTTCTACTGATTTTATTGCTTTTCTATTTTCAGTTTCATTGAGTACTGATCTGATCTTTATTAGTTTCTTTTTTCTGCTTGCTTTGGGTTTCATTTGCTTTGCTTTTCTAGATCCTTAAGATGGAAGCTGGGGGAGGGCAGGAATATAGCTCAGTGGCATAAACGCCTGCCTGGCAAGCACAAGGTCCTGAGTTTGATTTCCAGTTCAAAAAAAAAAAAAAAAATGGAAGTTTGTATCACTGAATTGAGATCTATTTTCTTTTCCAATATAAGCGTTAAAGTTATACATTTTAATATGCTATGTTTTCATTTTTAGTCCATTTAAATATTTTCTGATACCCCTGTGACCTCTCTTTGGGATATATCATTTGGGAGTATATTTCAAGTATATTAGCAGCAGTGTCACTCCAACAGCAAAGTCATGACCACCTGGACGCTGATCAGAGTGGAGGAGTCACCAGGCTGCAGATGGCTGAGCCACAACAGCACATATCCACAGAGAGCTCACACTGTAGCACAATTTTTTTGTTTGTTTTTGTTTTTCAGTACCAGGAATCGAACTCATGACCTTGCACTTGCCAGGCAGGTGCTGTGCCACTGAGCTAAATCCCCAGCCCCTTCACACTGATTCCTTAGCAGACTAAAACCACTGCTGAAGAACTATACTCAGGTCTGTGCCACTTATGAGGTCCAGGGACAAGCAAAATTATACCACCCATTGTGCAAGCAACAGAGAAAATTCAGAAAAGTAGCTATGGCTGAGGAAAGGAGGGGATGGAGCCAGAGCACACAAGAGTACTTTGAACAGTACTGGTGTTTTCTAGGTAACCTATGCTTTAGCTGATCAGGGTCACTGCAGTTAAGTCTGTGTACTACCCCATGCAAGACTTCACAACAGCTCTGAAATAATAAAGCCTACCCCCAATCAAAAGTGGCAGACTGAAGGTCAGTGACTCTGTTCCCTTGTTGATCATACATACTCATCTCTGCTCTCTTGAAAAGATACAAATCTCTAAGGATTAAGAAAAAAACTAAGAGTAGATGGGAATGTCAATGAAATTTAGAATTGTGGTCCCTCCAGCAAGAGTGACCAGAACAAGGCGGAGAAAGCAGGTGCTTGCCACAGGGCCTGAGGGTGCTCAGGACATGGAGGTCAGCACCATGCAGCCAGCAATCAGGTGGGGTCACAAGGAGAGGCCATCCCTGGGCTCCCCCAACCCCAGCAGGCTGGCCAGGGACCTTTCCCTATGTTAGTAGGGTAGCCGGTATTCTTGCTGAGAAGATAAAGCAGACAGAGCTGAGTGCCAAGACCTAGGAG